TTAATTTAAAATCAATTATCTTCAATTGCTAGATATTATTCATTATATTATAAGTAAAATATATTTTTTATTAAAAATTAACTAATGAAAACTTAAATTTTCAATAAAAATAAAGAATTATTAGTAAAAAAAATAAAAATTCCTTAAAAACAAAAAGTATTCAATTATATAAACTACATATATATAATTTAATGGTTTATAACAATTAAAAAAATTATACAAAAATCCTTTATACTAGTAAAGGCAACTCCACTTGTTTTTTATTAATTCATTTATTTATTACTCTAATAAGGTCATTGAAAGCATTATTAATAAATTATGTATTGAACTAACAAATTAATAAAAAGCATTTAAAGATGTTTTTACTAATCTTAATTGTTGTAAAAATTATATTAATGTTATCAGTGAACAAGCTTCATATTTATAATTTATATTAATGATAAATAAAATATTTCATTATCTTTTTATGAGATTTTATGCAATAAAAATAGCTTAATTAGTTTCGTGTGCATGTAAAATTATTAGTAGACTTATTTAGAGACGTATTTATGATAACATGTAAAAAAAATGTTTGTATGCAAAAAAAAAAAAAAAAAACACAAAGTAGTATATAAAGAAAATTAATATCTTCTGAAATATAAAAGTGGTATACTTATAAAATATGCGTGGTGATAATAATAAAAAAACTATGAGATATAAAAGAAATATTCTTATTTTATTGTAGATAGATGATTATGTAAAAAATATATAGTTACCTATATAAATTAATTTTATGATAAATAAAATAGGTATAATTTTTCCCACATTATCTTTATTAATTTATTTATTTAAAATACTATAAAGGTTTTTGAACTGTGAATAAATCAATTGAATACTGCGTTAGAATTATTTAAGCTAGAATAATGTTTTATCAACTACTTGTTTCGTGACTTTGTTGTTATTGAAAAAACAAATTAATGATGAATATACAAAGAAAACTCTGTTCATTTTATTTTTATTAAATTAAAACATAACGAAAATTATTCACTATTATTAATTATTATGAAATATTGATTGCATAAGCTAATATTTGTTGTTAATTTACACAATACTATGTGTATATCACTATTTACCTTATATTTATAGTCTTTTATAAAAAAAAATCAACACATCATAATCCTCAAAAAAAAGAAAAAAATTTTTTTTTTAACATGCACTTCCTTTTGTGCATGTATTTTTTTTTTTTTTAGTGTATGCGTTCATATATTGGTTAATAAAAGGCTTTATTAACCTTTTTGGAAAATAAAAGGACTAGTTATATGAAGAATACATAGTTATGCATACAAAAAAAAAAAAAAAAAAATATTATCAATTTTTTTTTTTTGTATTTTTATAAAGAAAAAAAAAACCGTCAGGAAAAAAAAAATTGATAAAAAAAAAATCAATTGGAAAAAGATTTGTTACAAATAAGAATGAGATAAAAAAAAAAAAAAAAAAAAAATTTTTTTTTTATGAAACGAAGTATGATTTGAATTCTGTAAGAGAAAATTTTATACATGTAATAATAAAATTTTCATGTAATTAATATTCATATGATTAATATATATTTTCACTAAATTTTTATGTTTGTTAATTCAGCAGAAATATATATTAATTGCTGAATGTAACTCATAACAAATAAACAAGTAATTTACAATTAATTAATAATCAATGTTCAATAAGGATTTAAATTTTTAATAAAAATAAGGATTTTTATTAAAGTAAATAAATGCCTATTAAAATCAAAGAATAAAGAATGAAGTAGATTACATAATTAAGGATCATTCATTCAAAGCATTTAAAAATATATATAAATACATAAAAACCGTAGAGGTAACTCTACATGCTCTTTATTAATTAGTTTGTTCAATACTCTAGCAAATCACCCAATACCCAGTTAATAAATCAACTTCAGTAAAAATCACTATATTTATATTGAAACATAAATCCTTAGTAATTATTATTTCTTAAGTAAAAAACTTTTAATTACTATTTCTAAGCATTAGTGTTATAAATTCCATTTTATTCTTTAAAATAGTAAATGTATATATTTATTACTAAAAGAAACGAAAATTTAATTTTCAAAAATAGAAAATTTTCTCTGATTAAAATATTTAATAAAAATTGTAAGAATTTTTTTTTATAAAATTCATATCTTTTATATTTCAAAAAAACAAATAATAATTTATATTAAGAAAAATATTAAAAAAAAAAAGATATTCACTATTTCTTATAGAGCTTCTTTAATTAGATTTTACGCAACAATAACTGTACATTTTTTATATAGAAATTTCTTCACTATTAAAAAAGTTAATAAAGCCTTTTATTTACCAGATATACATCATCTATTGTCATAGATGTTGTTAATACACTAGTATGATCATTTTATATAAATTATTATAAAAAGAATGAATAATATATTATTTATTTATATGAAAATAACTATGATAATACGTATTTATAAATTATTATTTATGTGTATGATTTAATTTTTTTGAATAGACATATTATTAAATATCTTGTCTAGTTATTTATTTATAAATATTATAATTCTTAAATAAGAGATATAATTTTTTTTTTTTTTATGAATATTATATTACTTATAATAATTACAATAATTTTAATATTTTATATATTGTTATTTTGATAATTTAAATTTATATATATTCAACACATATATTATTTAAAATATTTTAATACCATGTCACAATTTATATAAATGTACGATATTTTTACATTTACAAACTTTTAATTGTAAAAACATTTTTTATTTATTATATTGAAAAAATATAAATCATAAAAATACACATTTATTAAATTTATGAGTGTTTTTAAGTAGAAAGGAGTTTTAAAACATTAAATAAAATATACTTATGCTTATACATTTTTATTTATTATATATTAAAGATTCTTGCAAATTAAATTAAAAATAAAAATTCTTAATAAAATTCTTTATTTATGATTACAAAAGTGTCTTGTAGTATTTAAATATTTAAGAAAGAAGCAGTTTTTTAGAAGGACAATTATTGAACTCTTTTTTATTCTATAAATTATTTATTAATATCTTGTTAAATGACCTTTCTAGTATTAAACAAACAAATTAATAAAAAGTACATAGAAAAATCTTTATTTAATTTTTGTCAGATTATTCATTTTTATTAATTATATCAAATATTTAATGCATGAGTTAATTACTATTTTTTTTTTTTTATTTAATTACATCTCATGTATATCGCATTTTGTATTACACTCTTAATTTTTCGTAAAGAAAAAAATAATAAAATATAGGAACATTTTTTTCTTAGTTTATTTACTCTTAGAGAAAATATTTGTTTTTTTAAATATGTACATTGTTTAAGTGTTAAAATATACACATTTTACCTTCATTTTAATATACACAATTAAAAGTTTTTTTTCTTATTTTATTTATTTAAATGCTATTTAAAATAAGTTGATAACACTACTTATAATCCAATATTTAAGTTATCTAAATTTTATGAGAAACATAAGAAAAAATAAAACAATTTAAATATAAATACATAAAACGAAAATAAAATAAATGCATTCTTATTATAATCAGAATCGATCAATTATGCATATAAATGTTAGACAAAAAGACATAATTTTTTTTCATGTTTAATCATAAAATTATAATAATGTACATTTAAAACATTATGTTATTATTCAGTTCTATATTTATTTATTTATACATTTTATATGGCAATAAAAATGTATATTCTTGTATTTAAAAGGAAAAAATTCATTGTATTTAATTAAAGATAATATTTTTATAGTTAATAAAATAAATAAAATTATTGCTAAAATCAAAATTTATGCTTGTGATTATTAGTATAATAAGAGAAAATTTATAAAAATATATTTTCACAATATGTTACATATAATTAATAATATTCTTTATAGTTTTTAGAATAATTATGATGGTAATTTTGCTAAAAAATAAAAAAATATTTTTCGAAAGATTCTTTATACTGTATATATATGATTAAAAAAATTTTTTTTTTTTTTTAAATTGTAACCAATTTATTTATAGTGCTTTTTATATGGTATATTATTATAATTTTAACAAAATAGATATGTTTTCACTTTTTTTATTGAATTTATGTATTTCATAATTTTTTTTTTATTTGCTTGAAATAAATGAAAAAGAAAATTATTTTAAAAAATAATTATAATAAAAAATACATATACATATGTATATTGTATAAATATTTATTATTAATAAAAACAAAAAAAAGCTTTAAGATAAAAAACATATAATAGAATAATAAAAATAGTTACATTTAAGTAAAAAATATATGCAATTAAAAATTAGTTTCATGTTAAATTAAAAATGATCACAAATATAGCACAATGCATGAAAAATACATGCATAGAAAATTTTTCAATTTATACTGTTTTTTTTTTTGAATAATGGAAATATAATATCTCTAATATATTTAAATTTATATCTATAAAACATAAATTCAATATATAAGATAATTTAAAGTTTAAGATAGTTCACAGAAAAAAACTAATAGTTAAAAAAAAAAAAAAAAAAATTCATTAACTTTATGTTAAAACATAGTATTAACTTGTTTTAAATTAACTATATATAATTTTTTTTTATCTATTTTAAGGAAGAATATAATTTTTAATGAAATATTTTTAAAATAATTTTACATATTTTAACATTTTTTTAAACTTATAAATATAAGTTCTTAATTAAATTATTTTTCACAAAATTAACAGTATTAATCTTACATAAATTAAATACAATATTAAGTATTTTTAAAAAAAAATTAAGAATTATATTTCATATAAACAAATAATTTTTTACCTTAAAAACTTATGAAATTTACAAAGATTATAATGTCATCTAAAGTAATATTACAAACATCCAAATTAACATTAGTGAAGATAAAAACAATTTTTTAAGTGGATTAATAACTCTAGCTTTATTATTATACAATAAAAGTAATAATATGAAAACATATACTTTATGTTTAAAGATTTTTACATTTTTTATTTTAACTTGGATATTTCATTGTTTTTACGACGTAAGATAATGTTTATATAAAAAAAATATATATAGATATATTTTGTTTCTAATAATTTCTAAAATTTTATATAATTTATTACTTTGACAATAAAAAAAAAATTTTAAACAATTTTTATTTTGTCTTATAGTATGATTCCAATAGATCCTTTGTTGACAAAGATATATTGCAAAAAAAAAACATGTTAAAAGATAAGAGATTATTAGCGGAGGGTAATATATCGGAAAAAAAACAAACACATATTAAAGAACGTAATGAACATTATCCATCTGGTGAAAAAGATAACAAGGATGAAAAGCCGGCTTATTTCATGAACATATATAATATGTTGTATAGTGCTTTTTTTCTATTAATATATAAATTGTTTCCTAAAAGAACAAATAGAATGAGTAATAAATTTATAGATCATATATTAAATGTAAATAGGAAAAATAATTCAGAACCATATCTATTACCAGAACTTTCACTGAATGATTTATTAATTGAGTGTTCGGTGACTTTTCTAGAGTACTGAACAGACAAATTAATAAAGAGCAAGTGGAGTTGACTCTACAGTTTTGATGAATTTGTATATATTTTTAAATGCTTTGAACGAGTGGTCCTTAACTATGTAATCTACTTCGTTCAGCATTCTTTGATTTTAATAGGCATTTATTTACTTTAATAAAAATCATTATTTTTATTAAAAATTTAAATTCTTATTGAAATTTGATTATTAATTATATGTAAATTAATTTTTTCTTTGTTATGAGTTACGTTCAGCAATTTAAATATATTGCTGTTGAATTAACAAACATAAACATTCAGTAAAAATGCAAATTAATTATATGAATATTAATTACGTGAAAATTTTATTATCATATGTGTAAATTTTTCTATCACAAATTAAAAATATAAATACTATGTAAATTAAACTCCTTTATATGCAAATATCTTTATCTCTTTAAGATCTCATTTTTATTGGTACTAAATCTTACTCCCGATTTTTTATTTTACCAATTTTCCCTCCTTCATTAAATCTTTCCAAAAAAAATAAGTATATTTTATTTACATCTTTCAATTTATAAAAAAAACACAAAAAAAAAATTAATAAAATTTTATTTTTATTTTTTTTTTTGCGTATGCATGGCTAACTACGTATTCTTCATTTAATTAGTCCTTTTATTTTCCAAAAGGGTTAATAAAGCCTTTTATTAACCAACTGTATAAAAGTCATCGGATAGGCAATTAATAAACTATTTGGGAAGAAAAAAAATAATAAATATGGATAATTATTTTTGTTATAATATTTTAAGAAAGACTTATATATCATCAGAATATAATTTTTATGTTTGTAGTTTTTATATAACTTAGCTAGTATCCTATAAATTATTCATTAACTAAAGGTTTAGTGACTTTGCTACATTATTGAACAAAAATATTAATAAATAATAGAGTTGCTTATGCTAATTTAATAAATTAAAATACAATTTAGATTATACAAATCAGCAATCTGCCTTACATATAGCCTAATTCATTAAGTATTTTATATTTTTATGAGAAATTTTCTTACATTAACAAAAATCCTATATTTTTATTAAAAATTTAAATACACTTTAAATATAAATTTTTATTAGATATTTTTTAGATATAACATTATGAATAATGTGTAACAATTTAAACCTGTGGATCTTAAATGAACAAATATAAATAATTATTAAAATAAAAAATAAACTATACACATACTACAAAATACTGAAATTTTATTATTTTTAATAATAATTTTTTATAAAAATTCAAACAAAAATTAGATACAAAGAAGTTTTTTAGTCACGATTTTTCTTCTTTTTTTTTCCCAACTTATTAAGTCATTTAAAAAATGAATATATATTTTTTTTATTTATTTATATTACTGAAAAAAAATAAGAAAAATTAACTAATCATTTATTTATTATCTAACATTTTACAAAAGGTACTATTAACGTTTTTTAGAATAAAAAAGGATACCTATAAGAAAAATAGATAGTTAGCCATACAAATGAGAGTTAAAAAAAAAAAAAATATTATATTTATTTTTTTCCTTTTGTAAATTTAAAACATATAAAAAAATATGTTCACCTTTTTTGAAATAATTTATTTTAGTCGAAAGATTAATTAAAAAAATTGACTAAAAAAGTTATTTGTAGAATATTTTGTTTAAATTTACAAAGAAGAATTTTATAATAACTATATTAAATTTATTATATTTTATTTCATTTACATAATTTAATTGTTATATTATTAATTAATTATGTTTCTTAAAGCAATGGATTAGAATTGTTAAACATTATTTATAACATTACATGTAAAATTCTGTTAATTATAAATTAATGATCAACAAGGATATAATTTTTTAATGAAAATAGGGATTTTTAATAATGTAAATAAATACTTATTATAAACAAAAAATTCTCAATGAAGTAGGATACATAGATACAGTTTTCTAGTTATTATCATTAAAATTAAATTTAAATTCTTTAAATTAGTATAGAAAACTCTAAATACTCTTTACTAATATGTTTCGTCAATCCTTCTAGCACTACAAGTTTTATTGATTTATATAGCATATTAATGATTTAAACTAGGAACTATATGTATACTGATTACATTATTAAATAATTATTCACATAAAAATTGCTATATTTTATTAAAACATAAATCCTCAGTAATTCTTATTCTTAAGTACAAAACTTTTAATTAGTATTTCTAAGAATTAGTGTTAAGATATTCTAGTTCATTTTTTAAAATAATAAAAATAAGCAAATAATAAGGATATATATTTATATTATTTCTAGAAACATCGAAAATTTAAATTTCAAAAATAGAAAATTTTCTCTGATTAAAATATTAAGCAAAAATCATAAGAATTTTTTTTATAATATTTATATCTTTTAAAGTTCAAAAAAACAAATAATAATTTATATTAAGAAAAATATTAAATAAAAATGTTAAATATTTTTTATTTAGTTTTTTTAATTAGCTTTTAAGCAATGATAACTGTGCATTTATTTTATAGGAATTTTTTCATTATAAAAAAAGTTAGTAAAGCCTTTTATTAACTATACATATATTATACATTGTTATAGATGTCATTTATGCACTAATATAATCATTTTATATACATTGTTATAAAAAGAATGAAAAATATATTATTTATTTATATAAAAATAACTATGATAATACGTATTTATAAATTATTATTTATATGTATGATTTAATTTTTTTGAATAGACATATTATTAACTATCTTGCATAGCAATTTATTTATAAATATCATAATTTTTAAATAGGAGATATAAATAATTTTTTTCTTTATGAATATTATATTAATTATAATAATTAAAATAATTTTACGTCTCATAGATTTTTATTTGGATAATTTAAATTTCTAGATATGCAATACATATATTATTTATAATGTTTTATTAACGTGTAACATTCTGTATAAATGTAATATATTTTTACATTTACAAACTTTAGTTTTAAAAACATTATTTATATATTAAATAAAAAAAATATAAATTATAAAAATATACTTTTTTGAATTTACGATTATATTTCACAAAATAATAAGTTCTAAAATAATAAAAAAGGCAATACGCATGCTTATACATTTTTATTTATGATATAATAAAGATTTTTGATAATTAAATTAAAAAAATAAAAATTCTTAATAATATTCTTTATTAGCGTTTGCAAAGATGTCTTATAGCATTTAAATGAATAAAAAAATGCAGTATATGAAGGGGAAATTACTGAAATATTTTCAATTATATAAATGGTTTTTTAATATCTCGTTCAACGACCTTGTTAGTATTGAACAAACAAATTAATAAAAAGCATATAGAAAAATTTCTGCTTATTTTTTTTTTTATAAGATTATTCAATTTCAATAATTATATCAAATATAAAATGCATGAGTTAATTACTCTTGTTGTTATATTATATCTCATGTATATTACATCTTATATTACACTTTCAATTGTTCTTAAAAAAAAAAAAAATAATAATATATACATATATTTTTTTCTTAGTGTATTTACTTTTAGATCAGCATTTTTTTTTAAGGTATTTACATTTAGTGAATGTATTTTTTTTCTAAATATACTTATTTTATTTAAATGTATAAGTATACATATTTTACATTCATTTTAGCATACACAATTAAAAAATTTTTTCTCATTTTATTTATTTAAATATTATTTAAAATAACTTAATAATACTATTTATAGGCGAATTATCAAACTATTTAAATATTATTAAAAGAGTAAGGATAAATAAAAAAATTGAAATATAAATATATAAAACTAAAATAAAATCATAAATAAAATAAATGCATTCTTATAACGATCAAAAGTTATCAATCAGGCATATAAAGGCTAAAAAAAAAGACAAATATTTTTTTTTCATATTTAATTAGAAAACTATAATAATATACATGCAATTAGTTATGTTATTATTGGGTTTTATATTTATATATTGATACATTTTATATCACAATAAAAATGCATAACCTTGTTTTTTATTAGAAAAAATCCATTTTATTTAAGATATGTCTCTATATTAATATTATAAATAATATTTTCGTTTAATTTAAAATATACACTTGTGATTATTAGTTCAAAAAGCGGAAATTTATAAAAATATATTTTCACAATATGCTTCATATAATAAAGAATTTTCTTCATAGTTTTTAGAACAATTAAGTATATTTGTTATAAAATAAACTAATTTCAAAACATGCTTTTTACTATATATTTATGATTTATAAAATAGTTTATTTTTTTTAAATAGTAATTAATTTATATAAAGTGCTTTTTAAATGATATATTATTATAATTTCTTTAAAATAAATATGTTTTCACTATTTCATTTGAATTTGTGCATTTTATAATTTTTTTTTATTTTTTGTAATATAAACAAAAGAGAAAATTTTTTTAAAAAATAATTATAATTACAGTAAATAAATACATATACATATGTATACTGTATAAACTTTTATTATTAACAATAAAAAAAAAAAACATTAAAATAAAAAATATAAAATAGAAAAATTAAAATAGTTACACTTAAAGCAAAAATACATACAATCAAAAATTAGTTTCATGTTAAATTAAAAATGACCATAAATATAGTATACAGTAAAATAAAAATGCATGCATAGAAAAATTTTTAATTTATAGCTTTTTTTTATTTTTGATAGAGATATTATATCTATAATATATCTAAATTTATATCTATAAATCATAAATTTCATATATAAAATAATTTAAAGTTTAAATTGATTCAAAGAAAAAAACTAATAGTTAAACAAGAAAAAAAATAAAAAAAATTATGTATAAAACATTTATAACATTAACTTGTTTTAAATTAACAATATATAATTTTTTTTTATCTGTTTCAAGGATCAATATAATATTAATGTAATATCTTTAAAATAATTTTACATATTTTAACATTTTTTTTTACTTATATATGTTCTTAAATTATTTTTCAAAAAATTAGCAGCATTATTCTTATATAAAGTAAATACCATATTATATATAATTAAAAAAAAATTAAGAATTATATTTCATATAAACAAACAATTTATTACCTTAAAAACTTAAATAATTTACAAAGATTATAATATCATCTACAGTAATATTACAAATATCTAACTTAGCATTAGTGAAAATAAAAACAATTTTGTAAGTAGATTAATAACTCTAACATTATTATTATATTATAACAGTAATAAAATGAAAGCGTTTACTTTATGTTTAAAGATTTTTACATTTCTTATTTTAACTTGGATATTTCATTGCTTTTACAACGTAAGATAATGTTCTTATAAATAAAATCTATATAAATATATTTTGCTTCTAATAATTTTTAAAATTTTATTCAATTTAATACTTTAACAATAAAAAAAAACTTATAAACAATTATTATTTTATCTTATAGTATGATTCCAGTATGTCTTTGATTAATAAAGATACAATGCAAATAGCAAACCGGATAAAACATGAAAGATTGTTAGCAGAGGCTGGTGTATTGGAAAAAAAACAAACGAATATAAAGGAACGTAAAGAATATTATCCATCTGATGAAAAAAATAACAAGGATGAAAAGCTGGTTTATTTCAAGAGAATGTTTAATATGTGGTGCATTGCTATTACCCTATTAATGTACGAACTATTTTGTAAAAAAACAAATGAAATGAATAATGAATATAGATATCAAATGCTGAATATTAATAGGAATAATAATTCACAACCTCATGAGCTGCCTATAGTTTAATTGACTTAATAATATAATAATACACATAGAAAAAGAAAAAAATTAATTTATAGAATTTTAAAAAATCTTCATTTATATTATGATAAATGTTTATATCAATATATAGAACAGGAAAAAAATAAAATAAAAAAAAGAGATAAATAATTAAAAACTATAATGATGATTAAAAATAGATATTATTAGCTTTTATGAAAATATAAATTAATATATGAAAAGCAAATACTTAATTAGCCATGCACAGGTGCTAGTTAAAAAAAAAATCAATATTTTGCTTTACATTTATTTATAGAAATATATTTTATTTTGTTAAAAAAAAAGTAATTATTAAAAGAGAACATATTTTTAGGAGAAAATATTTTTATCAGAAAATTTTATATTTTTGAGAGTGAAATTTTCGTAATTAGTGATATTAATATAATTTATGATTTTTTTTGCTCTTTTAGAAAAATGTAGACACAAATAACTCAAAATTATTCATTAAAAGTTATATAAGGAATATTTTGTAATTAAAAATTAATGATTAATGAAAATTTATGTCCTTAATGAAAACATAGGATTTTTATTAAAGAAAATAAATTCTCAATGAGTCACATAATTTACAGTTTATTGGTTTATATCATTAAAGTTATATTTAAATTCATTAATTCAGTAGATAAAATTCTACATTCTCTTCACTAATTTTTCCATTCATTACTTGATTTATTAATTACCAGGTTAATGACATTAATAATCTTTAACAAACAAATTAATATAGAGAATGTAAAGAAAAATTATTTTATTCTTTTACAATTAATATAAAATACAAATCATTCACTTTTATTAATTAATATAAAATATTGCAGGCGTCAGTTAATTCCTAATGTTATTAATTTACGCAATATTCCATGTATATCACCTTTTTACATTGCATTTTTAATTTTTCAAAAGAAAATACTCTATATCATCTTCATCAAAAAGAAAATCTTTTTTTTTTGATGATAATTTATTCATAATAAAAAATATCAATAAATATAATTTTTTTTCTATTTCAATATCTCAACAAAGAAAAATATAATAAAATATATCTACATGTTTTTCTAGCTTGTATATTTTTTCAGCGATTATTATTTTTTTTAAAGTATATGCATCAATTCATGTTTTATTAATTGAGTGTTCGGTGACTTTTCTAGAGTACTGAACAGACAAATTAATAAAGAGCATGTAGAGTTGCCTCTATGGTTTTGTTGTATTTACATATATTTTTGGATGTTTTGAACGAGTGATCCTTAATTGTGTAATCTACTTCATTCAGCATTCTTTAATTTCAATAGGCATTTATTTACTTTAATAAAAATCCTTATTTTTATTAAAAATTTAAATCCTTATTGAACATTAATTATTAATTAATTCTAAATTACTAGTTTATTTATTATGTGTTACATTCAGCAATTAATATATATTGCTGTTGAATTAACAAACATAAACAATTATTTACAAATATCAGAAATTATACAAATATTAATTACATGAAAATTTTAATTGTTATGTATATAAAATTTTCTTTTACAAAATTCATCACCATAAATTATTTCATTTCCTTTCCCAAAAAAAAAATTCTTTTTTTTTTTTTTTTATCAAAATTTTTCCTGACAGTCTTTGTACTTTTTTTAAAAAAAAAAGTACAAACAAAAAAAAATCATCAATTTTTTTTTGTGAGTGTGTGCATGACTAACTTCGTATTCTTCATTTAACTAATCTTTTCATTTTCCAAAAAGGTTAATAAATCATTTTATTAAAAATGAATAGACATATTATTTTCTATCTTGTCTAACTATTTATTTATAAATAATGCAATTCTTAAATAGGAGATATAATCTTTTTTTCCTTATGAATATTATAATACTTATAATAATTAAAATAATATTTCCATTTCATAGACTATTATTTTGATAATTTAAATTTATATATATTAAACATATATATTATTTAAAATATTCTAATACCACGTAACAATTTATGTAAATGTAAGATATTTTTACATTTACAAACTTTTAGTAGTAAAAACATTATTTATATATTATATTAAGAAAATATAAATCTTAAAAGTGCACATTATTAAATTTATTACAATTTTTTACATAGAAAGGTGTTCTGAAATATTAATAAAGGTAGTACATATGTATATACATTTTTATTTATGTTATATTTATGATTGCTGAAAATTAAATTTAAAAAATAAAAATTCTTAATAAAATTCTTCATTAATGATTACAAAGATGTCTTATAGCCTTCATATGAATAACAAAAATGTAATATATAAAGGGGAAATTATTTAACTATTTTCTATTATATAAATGATTATTTATTATCTCGTTCAATGACATTGTTAGTATGGAGCAAATTAATAAAAAGCCTATAGAAAAATCTCTATTTGTTTTATTTTTATACGATTATTCACTTTTAATAATAATATCAAATATAAAATGCATGAGTTAATTACTCTTGTTGTTATATTATATCTCATGTATATTACATCTTATATTACTCTTTCAATTGTTCTTAAAAAAAAAAAAATAATAAAATATACACATATTTTTTTCTTATTGTATTTACTTTTAGATCAGAATTTTTTTTTTAAGGTATTTACATTTAGTGAATGTATTTTTTTTCTAAATATACGTATTTTGTTTAAGTGTTTAAGTATACACATTTTACATTCATATTAACATACACAATTAAATTTTTTTTTCTCAATTTATTTATTTATATATTATTTATTAATTCTATAGTACTATCTATAGCTGGTTAATAAAAGGCTTCATTAACCTTTTTGGCTATAAAAAAAGACTAGCTATGTGGAGAATACGTAGTTGTGCTAACTAAAAAAAAAAAAAAAAAAAAAATTATTGTAATTTTTTTTTGAAATATTTTTATTTTGAAAAAGATGAAGATAAAATAAAAAAAAAATAAAAAAACATTTATGATTATTTTTTTTTTGGGGGGGAAAGAGAATTATTTTATGGAGAAGGAGATTTTTTTTACAAAAGATAAGAATGTTTTTGTAAAGAGTTTAATTTGCTTAATATTTACATTTTGAATTTATGAAAGAAAATTTTATACATATGACAATAAAATTTTCACGTAATTAATATTCTTATAATTTATTTGCATTTTTACTAATTGTTTATGTTTGTTAATTCAACAGCACTATGTTTAAATTGCTCAACATAACTCATAACAAAGAAATAATTAAAATACATTTAATTAATAGTCAATATTCAATAAGGATTTAAATTTTTAATAAAAATAAGGATTTTTTATTAAAGTAAATAAATGCCTATTGAAAGTAATGAATCCTGAACGAAGTAGAGCACACAATTAAGAATCACTCATTCAAAGCATATAAAAATATATATAAATACTACAAAATCGTTGAGGCATCTCTACATGCTCTTTATTAATTTGTTTGTTCAGTACTCTAGTAAAGTCACCGAACACCCAGTTAATAAATCAATAGCCCAATAATCAAGCTATTCAAATATTATGAAAAAGGAAAGGAAAAATAAAAAAAATTGAAGTATAAATATATAAAACTAAAATAAAATAAAAAATAAAATAAATGCATTCTTATATCAATCAAAAGTTATCAGTTAAACATATAAAGGCTAAAAAAAAAAAAAAAAACAAATATTTTTTTTTCATGTTTAATTAGAAAAAAAAGATAATATACATGCAAATATTTATGTTATTATTCGGTTTTACATATACTTATTGATACGTGTTATATCCAAATAAAAATGCATACCCCTGTATTTTATAAGAAAAAATCAACTGTATGTAATTAAAGATATATCTTTATAGTCAATATGATAAATAATACTTTTATTTAATTTTAAACTTATACTTGTGATTATTAGTACAAAAAGGGAAAATTTATAAAAATATATTTTCACAATATATTTCATATAATAAAGAATATTGTTCATAGTTTTTAGAAAAATTAAGTAAATTTGTTAAAAAATAAACTAAATTCAAAACATGTTTTTTACTATACATATATGATTTATAAAATAGTTTTTTTTTCTTTTAAATTGTAACCAATTTATTTTAAGTGCTTTTTATATGATATATTATTATAATTTCTTTATAATAGTATATTTTCACTTTAAATTGAATTTGTGAATTTCATAATTTTTTTTTATTTTGTGTGAAACAAATGAAAATGAAAATTTTTTTTAAAATTTATTAAAATGAAAAAAAATAAATATATAAACAAATATTGTAAAAACATTTATTAATAATAAAAATGAAAAAAAAAAAATTTAATATAAAAAAAGAATAATAGAAAAATTAAAATAGTTGCATTTAAACCAATAATATAAACAATTAAAAATTAGTTTCATGTTAAATTAAAAATGAATACAAATATAGAACATTGAATAAAAAATACATGCATAGAAAATTTTTCAATTTATAGTGTTTTTTTTTATTTTTGATCGAGATATAATATCTCTAATATATCTAAATTTATATCTGGAAATCATAAATTTCATATATAAAATAATTTAAAGTTCAAGTTGATTTGCAGAAAAAAACTAATAGTTAAACAAAAAAAAAATAAAAAAAAATTCATTAAGTATAAAACATTTATAACATTAACTTGTTTAAAATTAACAACATATATTTTTTTATATAGTTTAAGGATCAATATAATATTAATGTAATATTTATAAAATAATATTATATATTTAAACCTTTTTTTTTACTTATATGTGTACTTACTTAAATTATTTTTCAAAAAATTAGTAGCATTATTCTTACATAAAGTAAATACCATATTATATATAATTAAAAAAAAATTAAGAATTATATTTCATATAAACAAACAATTTATTACCTTAAAAACTTAAATAATTTACAAAGATTATAATATCATCTACAGTAATATTACAAATATCTAACTTAGCATTAGTGAAAATAAAAACAATTTTGTAAGTAGATTAATAACTCTAACATTATTGTTATATTATAATAGCAATAAAATGAAAACCTTTACTTTATGTTTAAAGATTTTTACATTTCTTATTTTAACATGGATATTTCATTGCTTTTACAATGTAAGATAATGTTCTTATAAATAAAATCTATATAAATATATTTTGCTTCTAATAATTTCTAAAATTTTATTTAATTTGTTACTTTGACAATAAAAAAAAAAATTTTAACAATTATTATTTTATCTCATAGTATGATTCCAGTAGGTCTTTTATTGATAAAGATACATTACCAATAAAAAACAAGTTAAAAGATAAGAGATTATTAGCGGAGGGTAATATATCAGAGAAAAATCTAGCACATATTAAAGAACGTAAAGAACATTATCCATCTGGTGAAAAAGATAACAGGAATGAAAAGCTGATTAATTTGAAGAGCATGTTTAGTATGTGGTATAATGCTATTTATCTATTAATGTGTGATCTGCCTGTTATAGTAGATTATGAAATATCTAGTAAATGTAAAGAACAAATGTTGAATTTTTATAGGAGTAATAATTCATTTATGATGTATATTGAGCCAGTTTAACTGATTTACTAAAATAATAATATAGCTGTTAAAAAAAAAAAATTGATATAATTTTGTAAAATATTCACTTATGATAAATTTTTATGTGAATATAAAGAACAATAAAAAATAAAATAAAAAAGAGAAATTAAAAAATAAAAACTAAAAAATTTATTAAAAATAGACTTTCATAATCCTTAAGAAAATAAAAATAAATAATTGAAAAAAAAATGCTTAATTAACCATGCACAAGTGATAATTTAAGAAAAATCAATATTTTGCTTTACATTCTTTTTTAGAAATATGTTTTATTTTATTTAAAAAATAAAATAAAATTATTGAAAGAGAAAAAATTTATAGAAAGAAACATTTTCGTAAGAAAATTATATATTTTTGAGAGAGAAATTTTCGTTGTTAGTGATACTAAAATAATTTAAATTTTTTTCTTGCTCTAATAAAAAAAAGTGAACATGAATAACTGATTTATTAACTAGATGTTCGGTGACTTTATTAAAGTACTGAACAAAAAATTAATAGAGAGCATGTAGAGTTGCCTCTACGGTTTTGATATATTTATATATATTTCTAAATGCTTTGAATGAGTGATCCTTAATTACGTAATCTATTTTATTCAGCATTCTTTAATTTCAATAGGCATTTATTTACTTTAATAAAAATCTTTATTTTTATTAAAAATTTAAATCCTTATTGAACATTAATTATTAATTAATTGTAAATTATTAGTTTATTTGTTATGAGTTACATTCAGCAATTAATATATATTGCTGTTGAATTAACAAACATAAAAAAATTAGTAAAAATTCAAATAAATTAAATGAATATTAATTACATGAAAATTTTATTGTTATATGTATAAAATTTTCTTTTACAAAATTCATCACAAAAACTTTTTCATTTCCTAAAAAAAAAATTCTTTTCTTTTTTTTTTTGTTTTTTATTTATTAGTAACAAATTTTTTTCTAATTGATTTTTTTAATCAATTTTTTTCCTGACGATCTTCGTATTTTTTATAAAATTTTATTCCTGACAGTCTTTGTGCTTTTTTTTTAAAAAAAAAGTACAAACAAAAAAAAAACCATCAATTTTTTTTTTTGTGTGTGTGTGCATAACCAACTTCGTATTCTTCATTTAACTAATCTTTTTATTTTCCAAAAAGGTTAATAAAGCCTTTTATTAAACACGTATCTGGCTCTATACCAAGTTATTTAACTGAAACCATTGATACAGTACATAAATCCGCTCCTGTATCTAGTAGTACATTGGCGTTATGTCCGTTAATTTCTACTGTTTGTTCCGCATTCGTACATCGTCCTTTTAAGCTTCCAATTTCTATAGTCCTATTAACAGATGATTCACTTTCTGCTGAATCTGTTAAACCTTCATCGGATTCTTTTTCGATGTCAATTCCTTTATCCTTGAATACTTTATTTACTCTATTCCTCTTTCTATCCTTCTCTTCATCACTTCCTTTAGGTTTATTTTCTTTATACCATTCTTTTTCCTTTTCTTTTTGTCTTTCTAGGTGTTCCAATTGTTTAATAAGGTATTTTTATATTTGGCGGATTTTCTGTGGATTTGTTTCATTTTTGATAATTTTAAAATTTAAATCATATCTTTTAACTGTTATTATACCTAAAATTTCATCTTCGTTATCTCGAATAACTTTATTTCTACATACTTTTACTGTGTGTCCTATTTCATTACAATTTTGGATCTTTTTTTTCGGTAAAAACAGTATCTTTTTAAATGGTTATTCCCTCCACAACAATAACATTTCATAAGACTTTGTTTCTTATCCTTACCAATACTATTGTCCATGTAGGTCTGATCTGCAGCGTATATACTCCAATTTCGGTCCTCATCTATCTTTATTTCTCTATTTTCTACATTTAGCATATATTTTCTTATCTCCGTGAAAGTTTTATCCATTTCCACCTTTATATCTTATTCTTTTAAGAATTTCTCTCGTATATATCTTTTAAAGCATCTTAAAATATCCTTTCTGTATATACTATTCTCTTCCTTTAAATACAAACAAATAAGAGCGTGCGAATTACAGTCAGTAATAAATGAACTAATGGCTTCTTTTACAGATTATTTTCTTGGTGTATTAAATAAAATCCTTGTTAAAATGAATTTCTCATCTGGTTGTTCAAAGATTACATTAGCTAATTTAATTTGAAATTGTAACATATCGGTGACTTTTATGTCTCTTGATAATTTAGCTATTTCCTGGTGGTAGATGTTTTATGTTAAAGATCCAAATATCATATATGTTTTTACTCTGGATATTCCTTGCATTTTTGCCTTCATTTCGAATATCATAAACCAACTAAAGTATAGTTCTAAAGATTAATCACTAAATTTTGGGGGTCCAGGTGGTACTTTAGCTCTTATATCGATTGTTTCTAATTTCAAATATGTATGAATGATTAAATTCTATTATATTCGCAAAAGAATGTGGTTTAAGGTTGTATAATTCTTTATCCATCTTAAACTATTAATCCAATCTGGATTCTTTTTGTGCTGGTTTAGGTATTCCTACTGTTGTCGCCAATTGATTTATTAATGGGGTGTTCGATGACTTTGTTAGAGTACTGAACAAACAAATTAATAAAGAACATGTAGAGTTTCCTCTTGCTTAATAAAAGGCTTTATTAACCTTTTTGTTAATAAAAAAGACTGGTTATATGAAGAATACGTAATTGGTTTTTCACACGCAAATATAAAAAAAAAGAAAAAAAATGATACATTTTTTTTTTGTTTTACTTTTTATAATTTAAAAAGACGTAAAAAAAAAAAAAAAAAAAGGATATTTTTTTTAAGAAAGAAAGAAAAGAACGTCAGGAAAATTGTCGAAAGATTGGTAAAAAATCAATTGAAAAAGGATTTGTTACAAATAAGAAAAAGATATTGATATACAAAAGAATTTAATTTATATAGTATGATTAATTAATTTTGTATGAGAAAAATTTATACATATAATAATAAAATTTTCACGTAATTAATAAATGTATAATTAATTTGTATTTTTCACTAATTGTTTATGTTTGTTAATTCAACAGCAATATATTTAAATTGCTGAACATAACTCATAACAAAAAAACAAGTAATATACATTTAATTAATAATCAATATTCAATAAGGATTTAAATTTTTAGTAAAAATAAAGATTTTTATTAAAGTAAATTAATGCCTATTGAAATCAAAGAATGCTGAACAAAGTAGATCACATAATTAAGAATCACTTGTTCAAAGCATTTTAAAATATATACAAATACATCAAAACCGTAGAGAAAACTCTACATGCTCTTTATTAATTTGTTTGTTTAGTACTCTAGCAAAGTCACCGAACACCCAATTAATAAATCACCAATTAATGAATAAACAAATCAAAATTACACTAAATTCTACAAATTTGATTAGTTGTGAAAGTATTTTTCACAAATAATATGTAATTTTTATATAATTAAACTATATAAAATTCAATAAATAACTTATATCACATGAATTTACTACCTTCTAAATGAAATATATAGCTCAATATTTTATTTGTTTCTAATATAATAATAAATTTATAATATATTTAAATAGATTTACTAAATTTAACTTATTTAGCAGTCTAAACATTTGAATCAGATCGTTGATTATATGTGAAATAATTCTATTACGTTAATCTATAAAAATTATTTAAAAATATTTTTAATAAATTCTAATTTTTTATTCAAAAATTAGTAAGTTTATTTTAAAATTCTTTTCTATGAACATATACTTAAACATCATTTTTTTTTTTAATTACTTGTTTGAAACATTTTTCAATGTATTAATCGTTTATATCTATCTTTTTATTTTATTTATATTTACTAATATTTAAAAAAATTTAATGATGCCTTTTATTAATCTAGGCAAATACAAATATTGAGGTATTTATTTCTTATTTAGTCCTTCAAATAATTTTGTATAATAATGACTAATAAAAGATATAATTAAAATTTTACGAAATGATAGATAATTAATAATATGAAAAATAACGAATTAGTTATTAACACTTAATGTTTAATAAAATAGATAATTAAAGAAAGAACATTGAATGTTTTCATTTTGTGATGTTGCAAATTATATTTGTTAATTATGATTATTTAATTTCAATTTAAAAAAAGATCATTTTTTTTTTTAATTGTTAAAGGGATTTTTATTCATGTAGGAATTAAATTTTATTAATCGAATTAATTTTTAAATCCATGAAAAATTAAATTCAAAATTTATAAGAAAATAAAAATGATTAAATTTTTATTATTATTTAAATTATATGTATTTTTAAAATTTTTTTAATAATTTTATTTTGTATTTATTATTTTATTTTTAATATTATTTAAAGTATAATCAATATCATTAATGACAATTTAAGCTTTTAATAAAAATAAGAATAAATTTATATTAATTAAATAAACTCCTCTAAAACAATATATATTCTTTTATGTAAACTATATATATAAAATTTACTTTAATAGAGAGATATTTTTATAACAGTTAAAACTAATAGAGACTACTCGACATGCTCTTTATTAATTTTACTCAATATCCTGGCATATTTGATGAACAATCACTTAATAGATCAGTATGTTAATGTTCTTATAAAATGATGTATAAAATAGAGTATTTATGATTTATTAATCTATTGTCAAATAAATTCGATATATTATTAAAAGAATAAATTAATATAGAGCATATAGAGTAGTTTCTATTGTTTTTAACTGTTATAAAAATATATATCTATTATAGCAAAATAAATCCTATATATATAATTTACATAAAAGAATATTAGTTGAGAGAAGTTTATTTAATACAAATTTATTTTTATTTTTATTAAAAGCATAAATTATCATCATTCTTTAATTTCAATAGGCATTTATTTACTTTAATAGAAATCTTTATTTTTATTAAAAATTTAAATCCTTATTGAACATTAATTATTAATTAATTGTAAATTATTTGTTTATTTGTTATGAGTTACATTCAGCAATTAATATATATTGCTGTTGAATTAACAAACATAAGCAATTATTGACAATACAAAAAATTATATAAATATTAATTACATCCAAATTTTATTGTTATATGTATAAAATTTTCTTTTACTAAATTCATCATAAAATATTTCATTTAATTTCTCCATTTCCCCAAAAAAAAAAANTCTAAAACAATATATATTCTTTTATGTAAACTATATATATAAAATTTACTTTAATAGAGAGATATTTTTATAACAGTTAAAACTAATAGAGACTACTCGACATGCTCTTTATTAATTTTACTCAATATCCTGGCATATTTGATGAACAATCACTTAATAGATCAGTATGTTAATGTTCTTATAAAATGATGTATAAAATAGAGTATTTATGATTTATTAATCTATTGTCAAATAAATTCGATATATTATTAAAAGAATAAATTAATATAGAGCATATAGAGTAGTTTCTATTGTTTTTAACTGTTATAAAAATATATATCTATTATAGCAAAATAAATCCTATATATATAATTTACATAAAAGAATATTAGTTGAGAGAAGTTTATTTAATACAAATTTATTTTTATTTTTATTAAAAGCATAAATTATCATTAAATCTATTGATTATATTCAAAATAATATTTTAAAACAACATAATAAATTCAAAATTAGGTTACTAAAAAATCTTTAAAAATACACAAAATTTAAATAATAATAAAAGTTAGGTCCTTTTTGTTTCCCTTAACTTCGAATATAATATTCCATTACTTCAAATATTAATTCGATTAAAGAAATATAATTCTCAAATAATTAAACCCATTATTCAATAATCTAAAGAAGAAAAAAAATTAAATAAAATATAAAAGAAAAAAAAATTAACATAAGAACAATAAAAAAAATTTATTTTTTAGTTATCTGTTTTCTTAAGTAGCAAGTGTAAGTAAGAACTTGCTACTTCCTTATAATTTATTAGCTATTATTTCATAAAAAGTCAATCATACCTTTTATCAATCATATACGTATTTTAATATATGTATACTTTTGAATATCTTGCATGTACACAACGCTCTTCTCTACTTTGGTACGCCATATTAAAAATTCAAAAAGATTATTAATATTCTTTATTATTCACATATCAAAGCTTAACATTTAATTACATATAATTTATATTTAATCTGCTTTCCATAATGATTTTAACGTAAATATCGTTATAAAAAAATTAATTTAATATTTTCATTTAATTTATTTTTTAGAATTTTTATTTTTTCACCAATTTTTTTATGAGGAAGCATCTATGATAACAAATTTTTCTATATTATTATTTTTTTTATTTTAATATTAATATTAGCATTTAACTAACTTATAAAAAAGTTAAATAATTATTAAAATAAATTTAATATTAGTTCATTATTGTCATTATTACGCATATTCAAACTTAATTTAGGTATATTTTATTTATAACAATAAAAAAATATATATATATATGTATTGTATATATAATATTTTAGTTATTTTTTTTATTTTTTATTTATACATTATTATTTGATTATAAAAATGATATTGCATGCTCAGTTTTATTTCATCTGTATTTTTTTATTTACCTAAGCAATGTTATAAGGTTTTAATATATCATTGTTAATTATCTACTGTTATAAATTTTATCATATTATATATATTTTTTTGACAATTAATTTTATATAATTATAATTTTAATTGTTATATAAACAATAATATTATGATATTTTTATGTATATTTTCTTGATAATTCTTCAAAGAATATTTTACTGTATTTAAATTCTTTTTTTATTTCTTCAAAAAAAAACAATTTATTATTGAAAATATTTTTTAATAGATATTATTACCATTTTATGTTAAATATATAATGGAAACTTTTTCATTAAATTTTTTGTTTATTCTGTTTTATTTAAAAAAAGAAATTAATTATTGAAAAAATTCTTGAATAGGTAATACCACCATTTTATATTAAATATGTGTTAAAAAAAAATTTTAAATCTATTTTTTATGGTATGTTTTATTTAAAAAAATTAATTTATTATTTGAAAAATTCTTAAATAGGTATTATCATTTTATATTAAAAGTTTGACAAAAATTTTTTTTAAACTTTTCATTTATTATATGTTTTATAAAAAAAAAATCTGAATGATAAGTATTAATAAAGAATATCCTATTATTGATAAATTTTAAAAAAATATATTTTTTAAAAAAAAAAAAATATAATTAAACTTTAATATTTAAATAATAAATTAAATCCAGTTTTTAATTTTTATAAATATTATATATTGCTCTAGAAACTATGTTTTTTATAAGAAATATAATAAAATTTATAAAAAATGGATTATTAAAAAAAAAAAATAGCTCTACAAAAATATATTAAGGAAAAATTTACAAAGACATAAATAGTAAAAAGTAAGAAAAATACATACATCTTATTTTAATATTAGAAATGGCACTTTTATTTAATGAAGGATGCGAAAATTTTGAGGGGGACTCTGCCACATGCCGCATGAATATATGTTCTATAAAACAAAATAAATTTGAAAAATCACTTTGTCTTCTTGAAGATGAATTAGTTAAAGTATATCGTTCTTTAAATAATGTTTCAAATGATATTTCAAGAAATATATTTAAATATGAAAGTTATGGACCATATAGACATTCTAGGATAATTATTCTTTCAGACAATAATCAAGATGGTATTGTGTTTCTATATGAATACAATATATATAATCGTTACTATCCAACTAAAACATATTTATGCCGTCTTAGGAATATAAACCAAACGGCAGCATTATGCGAATCCCTCGATATATATTATTTAGGTAAAAGACTTTCTTTTAATTCTTATGACGTTATTAGTGAAAAAAATGATCTACCTTTGAAACATTTAAAAAACCCCAATCATAAAATTGTTAAATTAAAATATAAAGATTTATTTATTAAAGAACATTCCTGTCATCATATAAAAACAAGATACATTTCACATCATAGTTGCATGTATGCCATATGTGAAAAAAAAAAAGAAGAATATATGTTATGTTCTGATGCGAATTATAGTGGAAAATTAATATATTTGTTTAGTTATTGGCCTGAAAAAAGTAAAAAATTTATATATCTTCCAGAAGGTTGCTTAAAAAGAGATTCTAATTTGGCGTGTATTTCATATTTTTGCGAAACCAATGCTAAAGATAAATTTTTTCCATGTGAACATAAAGAAATTAGTGCTATAAAAGATATAATGCCAGATGCAGAGAGGTCAGAAGTTATGCCAATAAAGCAGCAGATTGTTCATCATGAAGATAATGTGAGTGCATCTGCACTCTTTGCAATGACTCTTATGCCTTTTTTAATTCTTTTCGTTTTTTTTTGGTGCTATATATATAAGAATTTTAAAAAGAGGAGGAGAAGTAAGTTATTTATAAAATATTTAAGTATATTAATGCTTATATTATATATATACTTTATATTTTTTAATTTATAAAAAATGAAAAGACAAATAAAAATATTTGAATATTACATATGTTTAATTTTATATTTTTTCTGTTTTTATTAGGAAAAATTTATTAATGGTAAAAAGTTATAATTAATACTTTTACTAAAAAGATAAAATATTCTTTCGAGAGGTATACAAAATTAATATTATAGAATTTATATTTTATATTTAACATATTTATTATAATATTTAAGCAAAACTTTGTTACAATAAATGAATTATAAATCTTATAATTTCATATATGTATCTAAATGCGTACGTATATATATATATAAATTAGTTAAAATTAAAAGTTTCTTATGCTAAAATTTCTCAAAAATTATATGATTTTTATATATATATTGTTTTACACTTTCTTTTATGTATTAATTTGTTAATTTTATGTTAAAAATTTTGTTATAATGATTTATTATTTGTCTATTCATTGACTTTGCTAAATTATTGAACAAATAAATTAATAAAGAACATGTAGAGTTCTCCTTATTAAGTGAATTAATTAAAATTTGGTATTAATGTTATAAACCAGTAAACTATATATATATGATATATTTCATTGAAAATATACTGTTTTTAAGGGATATTTATTTACTTTAATAAGAATCCCATATTTTTATTAAAAATTTAAATCCTCATTGTTATCATTTTCAATTATATGTATTTTATTTATAATGTTATGAGTAATATTTAGCAATTCAAATCCATTACTTTCAAACTAGAATAAATAATTAACAAAATACAAAATAAATTATATAAATACTACAAAACGAGAAAAATTTATTAATGTTGATATAAAAAGTTATATATACTTAAGAAAAAATATTCTACTAGAAGCTTTTTGTCAACAATTCTTTACTTTTTGAACATTTAGATTTATCTTTTAAAAAAATGAATATATTTTTTTGTTTATCTAATATTTACAATAAGAAAACAAAAAAAATAAACAATCTTTTTTTCTTTGTTTAGAAACTTGCATGGTGATTTGTTAATTGCTTGTTTATTGACTTTGCTTTTAATGAACAAGGTAATTAATAAAGAGCAAGTAGAGTTGACTCTACAGTTCTGATGAATTTGTATATATTTTTAAATGTTTTGTACGAGTGATCCTTAATCATGTGATCTATTTCGTTCAGCATTCTTTAATTTCAATAGGCATTTATTTATTTTAACAAAAATCTTTATTTTTGTTAAAAATTTAGATTTTTATTGAATATTGATCATTAATTAAATATATATTACTTGTTTCTTTGTTATAAGTTATATTCAGCAATTAATATATATTACTGTTGAATTAACAAACATAAACAATTAGTGACAATACAAATTAATTATATAAATATTAATTAAGCGAAAATTTTATTATTATATGCATAAAATTTTCTCTTACAAAATTAAAAATATAAATATTATTCAAATTAAACTCTTTTATATGTAAATATTTTTATCTGTTTAAGATCTCATTTTTTGTTTTACTAAATCTTACTCCCGATTTTTATTTTCGCAATTTTTTTTCTCTCATTAAATATTTTTAAAAAAAAATAAATATAATTTTTTTTTACTTATTTCCATTTTATGTATTCTTCATATAGATAATCCTTTTTATTTTCAAAAAAGGCTAATAAAGCCTTTTATTAACCAAGAATAAAGAGTTTTTTTCTGTAGTGATCTTTTATTTTTAATTTTTAAGAGAAAATTTTATATACATAATAATAAAATTTTTATGTTTGTAATATTTATATAATTTAGTGTGTCTCATTAATTGCTTATGTTTGCTAACTTGAAAGCAGCGGATTTGAGTTTCTAAGCGTTATTCATAACATTGTAAATCACATATATGAATTAAGAGTTAATGTACAATAAGGGATTAAATTTTTAATAAAAGCAGAGATTTTTATTAAAGTAAATAAATATCTTTTAAAAACAAGAAATGTTCAATGAAGTAGACTATATATAAAACAGTTTAGTAGTTCATAGCCTTGAAAAATTATGTTTAAATTCAATAAATTAGTAGAGGAAACTATAAATGCTCTTTATTAATATGTCTGTTCAATGCTCTAAAAAAGTCAATAGATAGAAAATTAATAAATCATTTATATTAGATGATTTTATAACGAATAAAATTAGTAGTTATTATTTTACGTGTTTTTTATTAATTTGATTATTCAATATACTATTAATTTATTTGAAAGAACAATTAATAAATTAATCATCTTTAGTAAAAAAATTTAATTTCTGCATTTTTAATTTTTTCATTGTATATACAAAGTATTAAGAAGATATAAATATGTACATGTTGTAAATGATGTTCTCTGTAAAAAATGTAATTCTCTTGAGTTCACATCTATGTATATACATTTTTTTTATATTTTTAGCTAGATTTGCTTCTAACAAAAAAATTTTATAAGTTCTCAAATTTCACATTTTTGCAGATTCACGTCACAACATTTATCTGTTAATGTTGATAATTCACTTCATTAACCACCTTATGCACTGTATTTCTTAAGTTTTTTTAATTAATGAGAAAAAAAAATTTAGATTAATGGTAGCTGTTTCATAAAGTTGTTATTAGAATTAAGGAATTATTCTATTTTGTATGAAATTATTACTTATTTAAATTGGAAAAATCTATTAAAATTAAAAAAAAAAGTTAACTATAATAAAATTAAAATTTTAACTTCAAAAAATTAAGATAACTTAAAAATGAAATTGAACATTGGATTATAAGTTGTAAATAAGATATTACAACATATATAGTTACATAAGTTATATTATTTAAATTATTTTAAAGATGTAATCTATGGTAATTTTATACATATTTCATTTACTCAATTATTACAATTTACTATTAAGAATTATATATTGTCATAAAAGTATTAACAAAGCTACTACTATATATTGATGAAAAATAAAAATTAAACTATTAAGTGATATTATTAAAGCTAAATGTAATCATTTTTATAAAAATAAATGGAATATAAACATAAAAATTACAATAAGAAAAATATTATATAACATTTTATGTTTAAAATTTTCTTGTATCTTATTTTAATGTTTTTTTTAAAATATAATGTTTAAATACAAGTAATGTATATAACATATATCCTCTTTTTTGAAAAACTATATTGTTTTCTTTTTTTTTTTTTTTTTTTTTTGGTTAAGTGAATAGATTTTATGGTATTTATATAATAAAATATCATATTTTTTATATATTTAACAGATACGTAAATTATAGAATATGCAAATCGATAATAAATTATCTTTCTGATATTAAAATGATAAGAATGAAATAAAGTTTCATTTAAATTATAATAGAGGCATCTTTGTATTAGGTTAACAAAAAGCAATATTTTGAAAATTATCTACAGGTAAATCTTTCATTTTATCTATACATAAGATTAATTTATAATACATAAACACATACATTTAAAATACATAACAAATTTTAGAAAGAAAACTAAGGAATATTTCATTTTGGGTTATGTTATTCCTCATCTTTAATAAAAGCAGAAATATATTAATATTAAAAGATGCTGTCTACAATATTTATGTAAAATTAAATAAAACAAGTAGAGAATAAAAAGATAAATAAAATAAAAATGTAAAAATATATAAAATTTAGTTTAACAAGCTTCTTCTGTAAACATTTAAAAGTAAATAAGATACTACATTTTCAAAAAAAAAAAAAATTCATAATTACCTTATATAAATGCTTTTTCCTATTAATATTTATATATATATTTATATTTTTTTTATTTTTTTACCTTCTTTTGATAATATCTTATCAAGTTCTTTTTTCCACTTTAAATTAAACTCACTTTCTTCTTCATTAACTTTCATATTTTCTTCTCTTTCCCACTTTTCATTTTTTTCCATTATGCTCTTTTCCAACTCTTCCTTTTATCATTTACTTTTCTCACTCTCCTTTTCTTTTTGCATTTTCTTTTCAAACTTTTCAATTACTTTTAGCATTCTCTTATCCCCCTCTTCCTTATTTTTTAGCATTTTCATTTCCAACTTTGCTTTTTTTCTTAGCATTCTCTTTTTCCAAACCTCGCCTTTATTTATAACTCGATTTTCCCACTCTTCCAATTGTTTTAGCATATCCGGACCACACAGTTGCTTTTCTTTTAGCGTTTTCTTCTCCCACTCTTCCTTTCCTTTTAGAATTATCTTTTCCCGCGCTTCTATTTTTTTTTTTTTTTCTAGCAGTTTCTTTTGACCATCTTCCATTTTTTTTTTTTCTTTTTGCATTTCCTTTTCGAAATCATCTTTCACCTTTTTATTGCTATTATCCAATATCTTCTGCAACCTAACATTCATTTCATTTTTAGCTTTCAATTTAAGAGAGTAAGTTTTCTGTAAATTATTACAAATGATTTAAAATTTTGTTTTTATAATATATATAAAGTTTATAATTATAAACTTTATTTTACCGCAAAACGAAGGAAAGAAATAATAATGATAACTAACTTAAATATACTTAACGACTTTTTATCAAGAAGATTTATTGATGTAGCCGAATCCAAATTGATATGTTTAGATGGATTTTGAATGGCATCACGTGAATTCAAATTATGATGTAATGGATTTTCTGGTATTGAAACAGTTGCATCTTTAATTACCCTATGAGCGAAACCTGCAGTTGAATCTCCCTCATTTAGTCTCTTATTGGAATTAATGTTAATAGGATCACTAGGATTAAGATCCATTTTTGGTATCTTAAAAAAAAGTAAAAAAAATTATTGAGAAAATATTTCTAATATTTTTTTTAATGAATTTTAAAATATTCCCTTTTTTTTTCAGTAAGGATAATATAAGTTAAAAACAAAAAATATGGAAATATAAATTAGAAATTAACAAATAATTTAAAACAATAGGATTTTTTAAAAAATAATTAGTTTTAAAATTTTTTTTTAAATTTTAACACATAAATGTCTATTAAAAGCTAAATCTATAACTACAACATAAAAATTTTAAATTTAAAATTCTAAATCCCACATCCTAAATCCTAAAATTATTAATTATATAATATAACCTCTTATTTATTATATATTTTTAATTATATTTTTCATAATAGATATATTGTTTAAATAATCAAAAAATAATAAATTTTTAGTTAATCTATTATACTTACAAAAAAAATATATTCCTTTTCATTTTTCTATTTAATTTTTTTATTTAAATTAAAAGAAAATAATATAAAAAATTATTTAGATATGCAAAAAAAAAAAAAATGTTATATTCTTTTTTTACTTAAAATATTTTTAGAATAGTTTATATTTAGATACAATTATATAGGGTTTTAAAATTTTTTTTTTTTATTTTTATATATTTTTTTATTTATTTTTCTTTTTTTAAAAATTATTTATTCAAAACATGCAATTTTATCCTCGTTTAATTTATTATGACAATTATAACTTATTCAATAAAAAATGTGAAATTAATTTAAATTAAACATTAGAAGTATTATGGTAATAACGAAAAATAAATATCACAACAAAATAGATACATATTCTATAAATACATTATTTTATTTTTTTTTTTTTTTTTTTTCGATATCATTTTAAGTTCTTATTTTATAATTATGTAATAATTATACATACTAACAGTTTTTTTTTTTTTTATTATTTAATTTTTTTTTCTTTTCTATAGTTTTTTTATTCATATGCTTGCTTTCAAAACTTTAGCCATTTTTGTTTTCTATTGAAGTAATTTTTATTATTTTATAATAATGTATTTTATTTCTCGTTTACCATTTTTAATCGAATCTTATTAGATATAATAAAATTAAATATAATAAAAAAAGATTAGTTAAATATAAAGTGCACTTGTAGGAAATATATCATTATACTGTACTCATAAAAGGAATTTATGTTTTACATTATGATCTTTTAATTTTAGATGAATCTCAAATTGGTATATCTTAAAAAATTAATTTTTTTTTTATTTTTTTTCGTAAATAAAGAATGCATATTTTTTGAAGTAAATTCAAATAAATTTTTTATATAAACATAGGATTTATATATTTCATATTTAATAAAATAAAATGTCAATTGTAGTATGCTATAAAACTAAATAAAAAAAATAAAGAATAAAAAAAATATTACAATTTTAAATTGCTTTAACTTCATTCCTTGAATCTTCTATGCATATTATTTCTCATTTTCTATATATAATTGTTGTTCGCCTTTTTTTTATATATTTACATATTTATATTTTTACATAAAATAATAGTTTTAATAGTATTATTTTTATTTTAATTTACATTTACATAGCTATTCTTCTATTTTACTTACATACTACTAATATTTATCTTATTTTCATGTTTTTTATTTTTATTTTTTTTAATTATATGCTTTTATTTATATATTTTTCGTTTGAATTATTATTCCATAAGGATATAAAATATAATATAATATAATATAATATAATATATAATATGTGTAAATATTACTTTTAATTAAACATTTATAATTTTATTTTATTTACTCCTAGAACCAAAACATAACAACAGACCAGTCACTCTGAAGAAAACACTCCATCCCACTTAAAACTAAGATACCCTCCAATACTCAAGTAAGTTTTATAGTCATAATTTAACATGTTCTGATAATGATGGGACAAGGGGAAGATTTTTAAATAAAGGAGATTTATATTAGATATTAGTGGGAAGATTTTTACTCAGACTGGCAACACATTGAAGCTGGTTACCCGGAGAAGTTGTAGATTCCTCATCCCTGAAGGCACTGAATGTCAGGTTGGATGGAGCCCTGGATAACCTTTTCTAGTTCCTTAGTGAGTGTAATTAACATGTGCTAATTCACATCTTTTAGGAGACAATTTCTAAGTAATGAATAGATTGAGAAAGACTGGTCTAATCTTGATCCTTGTGAAACATGAATTGAGACCAATTCCATCAAGGTTAACCAGTTTACTGTATAGTAAAAATGATCAAAAGTAGACCTTCTGACTTTGTTGTCTTTAAGGAGAAGATTTTTTTTTTTTTTTTTTTTTTTTCTTTTGGAATCAACGTCTTAAAATTAAGATTTATAAATTCAATAGATTTATTTTTTATTGTTTTATATTAATATTTATTTATGTTCTTAAGTGTGTTTATAATTATGTATTTTTATTTGGCTTATTCTTAATAAATTATAATAATTAATAATTATATATACATGCATTTTCTTTATTTTTTCCTAGTTTCCTTTTTAATAAAAATGCATCATTATGCAAAAAAAAAAAAAAAAAAAAAAAAAAAAAATTTATAATTATTAATAAAACTTTCATTTTTTTTTTTTTTTTTAAATCATACTTTAATAATTTATTTTTAATTAAAATTGAAAAATAAAGTTTTAAATAAATAACTTTTAACACTTAATTTGAATGTTCTAATATTCTTGATTACATTTTTCAATTACTATATAAATATTTTTATACACTAAAAATATAAATTTTAAAATAAATATTAATATATATATATATATATATATATATATATATATATATATATACATATATATGTAATAATTAGTAATTCAATTTGTTTGTAAATTTAAATATACAAATGATGTAACTATTTTAATGAAATTTATATAATTTAATTTTTTATAAGTAAAAAACCTTATTAATAATAACTTATTTAATTTTTTTTGAATTGTCTAAGTAGTTTATATATAAATTAAAATTATATATAAAATATTATTTTGCATATTATACTTTTTCTTTAATATTTTATATAAGGAAATTATATTAAAGTTATTATTTTTATTTTATTTTTTTTTTTTTTTTCTTGATATAAAAAATGAATTTTGATAAACATTAGTTTATGGAGAGAATTTAAAAAAATTTAAGAAATATTAAAGTAAATTATTATATTTATTATTGGTAATCCAAAGTAACATAAAATGTACAACATTTTTTATACAAAAGAATATATATATATATATATATATATTTTTAAAAAGATTTAATTTATAGTTGTTTCATTAATTTTTCATTACAATATAGTATGCATATGTAACTATATCATATCCGTCTTATTTTCTTTTAATTAATTTTAATAGTTATTACATTCTATTTATATAATATATTTTATTTTAATTTTAGTTTTTCTTAACTATTTATACTTCTAAGATAAGAAAAGAAATTGTTATTTTTAAAAATATTTCTTGGTTGCTCATATTCTTACTGATTATAAAAGGAATCTGATCTAACATGTTAACAGTTTCAATGTGAATGTTTAAATCCAGATAATATTTATTTTCCTATGTGAATTATTGTGTTAGAAACTCGCTTGAGGGTAATGAGTGTTCAGCTTATTTTGAGTCATGTTTCCTACAAGAGTATGAATATGTGTCTGAGATTGTTTGGAAATAAAAGATCAAAGAGTCACATGACTTCCTGATAAAACAAAAAAATTCTGTCAGGTCTCATCAATCATCATATAAGCTACAGAGATTTAAAAACTAACTTGTATACTAATGTGAAAAAATGTGAGATAGCTGAAAAACAGTTGTGCATCCTAGCTATTAATTTTATGCCCTTTGAGGTTATTTTCTAATATTAGACTAGTTCTCTTTCCAAACTAGAGTTACTGGGCTCAATGACATGAAACTCAGGATTCTGAAGGAATAGTCTGATGTAGTTGCCAGCTAACTCTTCATCATATTTAAAACAATATGTCTGTAAGGTGACGTTCTTGGTGAAAAAGGTGGAAAAAGGGAAATATCACTCTTGTTTTTAAGAAATGTAGAAAGGAAGACCAGGAACTACAGACTGGTGACCCTTTGTGCCTGGAAAGGTAATGGAACTGACCTTCATGGAAACTATGTTAAAGGAACACATGAAATGGGGTATTCTAAGACAATCAAGCATGACATCACTAAGGCAGATCATGCCTGATTAATGTTCTCGCCTCCTATGAAAGATTGATAACATCAGTGGACCAAGGAAGAGCAACTGATGTTGTCTACTTAGACTTCTGCATAGTCTTTGGTATGGTCCCACATCACATTCTTATCTTGAAATGGAAGAGAGATGGATTTGAAGAGATGACTATTCAAAGGATAAGAAAATGATTGGATTGTCACAATCAGAATGTTGTCTCTTTTTTTTTTTTTTTTTTTTTTTTTTTTTCTGAACAGTTCAAAAAAAAAAAAAAAAAAAAACATAATATTATAATTAAATAATTTTTCATTATCATTATTTTTTACTTTTTGTATTTAGTTATAAGTAAATACAACCTAATTTAAAAAAAATAATAAAAAGAAAAATTTCAACTCTTTAAAAAGAGATATATATTTTTTTTTACCTTTTTTTTCTACTTAAGATAATGTCAATATATTTTTATCTTTGTTAGTTTAACATAAAAACCTTTAAAATGTGACATTTTGATAAATATCATTCAACTTATATTCTTTTGATTAGATGTTATTAAATGCATTTGTTTATTTTAGTGTAAATTTTGGTATTTTCCTATTTTTTGTGTTATCTTTTTTTTTTTTTTTTTTTTTTTTTTTTTTTTTTTTTGCATGCAATATCATTTTTATAAGCAAATAATAATGTATTAATAAAAAATAAAGAAATAACTAAAACATTATATATACAATACATATATATNTAACTTAAATTTTAATTATGATAGTTATGTTAAAAATCAAGTGAAATGTAATAAATGTAAATAGATTTAGTAAAAATAGGTGCAATA